AAATAGTCCCTGTGGAAAGCAGCCCGGGCTGGCCACAGGCAGAGGCTGCTCCAGCATCACCCCCTGCCTGCAGCCAGCCCAGGACCACTGCACCTCTGCATTTTAAATGACTCCCAGAGCCCTCCACACTACAGCTCTGCAGAGCAGCCCCTCTTATCAACTAATCGTGTAATGGATACAAATTGTATCGACTACACGATTACCCAAATAACTGCTCTTTAACATCTTTAAACAGAACACCCTGTGAAGAAACATTTTGGTATCAAACACACACCCTACAGATAACAGAAACATACTAACCCAGATTTAGAACAGCATAATAAATAGTAATTAAGCCCCTGTGTATAAGGTGGTATTTTGGTAATGTTAGAGGCTGGCAACCTAAATAAATTAGGAGTGATGTGTAACTTGTTTGTACCCATGTATAAAAATGTACTCTAAAAAAGTTGTTTTTGTTTGAACAAGGGGGCAGTGGCAAATTTTACATATCAGTTACATTTATTGTAACAAGCATACATGTGTTATCCTAACTGTTGACTTTTGATATGGGAAAGCTAAAACAGCACTTTGTTTACAATAAACCTGGCCCGGTGCCTTTAATTTTTTATTAATTTTGTGGGTTTTGGGGTGGCTTTTTTGCATGAGCCAACACAACACTGAAAGCCAATTATGCACCCAAATGGTTACCACTGAAGGAGGAGACGACCTCTCAGAACACCACACCAGTGATGCCTGACTACCAGTTACCTTAACGTATAAGCCTACACTATGAGAGGCTTGAACCTACTGTCCTTTGGAATATAAAAGGTCTCATTAACTTCAACAGGATTAACTGCATAATCTGGAACATACATAGTCACATCTCTGTCTAGCCTCCAAAACAAGCTTTATCTACATGAAAACTGCAAAACCAACATAAACACAAAAGACCAAACTTTCCTGGTTTGGTGTCATGCATCAACAGAAGTCCTAACTAAAGTTGTACCAGGAAAATCCATGACTGGAAACAGAAAGAATACACTGTACACTGATTTTCAAAAAGCTAATCTAGCTTGCTGTGTCAGCAGTTAGCCAGGTCATGCTTTGACTTGTAAACTGAGCAAACTTGATAGGAAAGTAATTGATGGAGAATAAATATTAATAGCTAAAACATCTTTTGGTGTTTATGGGCTTTTTACAAAAAATCCAGAAAAATGATTCAAGCACAAAAAAATGTAGTAACACAAAGCTCTTTTCAAACAGCTTTTATAATAAACTACAGGATTTATTATACCCTTTGCACAGTCATTTAGAAAAATAGATTCATGTTTAAGTGTTACTGTAGAAAACAACTTTTTTCACAGATCCAAATATTTCCAGATGTTTTTCTCTTATTAAATATTAGGACTTGACAGTCAAAACGAATCACAAAAACTCTTCAGGTCTTAGATATTGGCGTATAAAAACTGGGAAAATGTATATAAAAAACTAAGATGATGTATATCATATATTACATTAGATATCACTACAAAAAGCACTCACAGTTTGTGCATCAGAAAAACTTGGTGCTAGCTTGGGTTGAAGTATTTTCTCTTGTGTTCCCTCTACCAGCTGGTGGCTGCTGTTACTACCCCACACGTACACTTCACAAGTCTCAGAAACAATCGGAGTATCACCAGTTTGTATGCTGTCTGGGCTGGCACATGTTCTAGAGTAGTCTGATGCCATTCTACAAACCTAATAAAATAAAAACAAACATTAAACAAGAACTTCAGTTAATTTTCAATTCATTTTCCTATTGGCCAATAGACATGGGTATACTTACATTATTACCATTCTGATTAATTTAATTTTCTCATACACAATACTGATTTTAAACAATCACCTGGTGGTTAAAATAAAGAAGTGGGTGTCAAGAGATATATAGGTTGCATGCCCATTCATCTAATAGTCTTGTTGCATTATGATTAAGGATCATAGAATACAACAACTGGAAGAGACCGAGAGATTAAGTCCAGTCCCCAGCTCTCATGGCAGGACCAAGCACGGTCTATACCATCCCTGATAGATGTCTACCTAACCTGCTCTTAAATATCTCCAGTGAAGGAGATTCCATAACCTCCCAAAGCAATTTATTCCAATGTTTAACCCTGGACCATTAGGAAGTTGTTCCTAATGTCCAACCTAAACCTCTCTTGCTGCAGTTTAAGCCCACTGCTTCTTGTCCTGTCATCAGAGACCAAGGAGAACATTTTCCCCCCTCTTCGCCATGACACCCTTTTAGATACTTCACAACTGCTAACATGTCCCCTTCTCAGTCTTCTCTTTTCTAAACTAAACAAGCCCAATTCTTTCAGTCTTCCCTCATAAATCATGTTTTCTAGACCTTTAAACATTTTTGTTGCTCTTCTCTGGACCTTCTCCAATTTCTCCACATCTTTCTTGAAATGTCCAGTTCTGGGTACCACACAATACTCCAACTGAGTCCTAATCAGTGCAGAGTAAAGTGAAGGGGGACTTCCCGTGTCTTGCTCACAACTCTCCTCTTAATGCATCCCAGAATCATCTTTGCTTTTTTGGCAAACGCGTCACACCGTTGACTCATATTTAGCTTGTGGTCCACTATGACCCCTAGATCTCTTTCTGAAGTACTCCTTTCCAGACAGTCACTTCCCATTCTGCGCGGGACTGATTGTTCCTTCCTCAGTGGAGTACTTTGCATTTGTCCTTATTAAATTTTATTCTATTTACCTCAGATCATTTCTCCAGTTTGCCCAGATAATTTTGAATTGACCTGATCCTCCACAGCAGTTGCAACCCCTCCCAGCTTCATATCATCTGCAGACTTAACTGTACTCTATGCCATCATCTAAACCATTGATGAAGATATTAAACAGAACCAGTCCCAAATCAGATACCTGTGGAACCCCACTTGTTATGCCCTTCCAGCATGACTGTGAATTGTTAATAACTACTCTCTGACAACTGTTATCCAGCCAATTATGCACCCACCTTATAGTAGCCCCATCTAAGTTGTATTTGCTTAGTTTACTGATAAGGTCATGCAAGACTGTATCAAATGCCTTACTAAAGTTTAGGTATACCACGTCCACCACCTTTCCCTTATTCACAAGACTTGTTTTCCTATCAAAGGATAACTGGAAAAAACTCCTTGAGCACATATTGAATGTCATTCTTTTTGTTTCTGAATGGGGATTGGCTTTGTTTGGTTCCAGTCAATGTATCGGTGATCCTACCAATGGAAATACTTGAGCTTCGTATGTCTACACTACAAAGTTAATTCAAACTAATGTTCATTATTTTGAATTAACTTTGATAGGCGCTGCTTCTGGAATCTCTCCAGACTTCTATGATTTTTCAAACATGATAGAGGAGGTATCTGAGCCTTTAGCTATCAGCTCCTTGAGTATTCTAGGATGCATTTCAGCAGGCCATTGTGACTTGAAGATATCTAACTTTTCAAAGTATTTTTTAACTTGTTCTTTATTTTATTTTCTAAACCAGTGTTTCCCAATTGGTGCTCCGTGGAACCCCAGTGAAAGTAGGGGTTCTGCGAGGAGCCAGCATTCCCCTGCCCCTCCTGAAAGAGCGCACCGGTTAGCCAGCTTCTTAAAGAAGCAGTACACTTGTTTCCCATTTCTCCCTGGTGACGCAGAGGTGTAGTGAGGTGGGGACAGAGGGGAACAGTTGCTCCCAGCCAGCACACTAGGGGGGTGCTGGACAGGGGTGACCCCACATGACCCACAGCGGGGAGGGAAGCACTTCCCTCCCCAAAGGAGTCAATGTGCGCTACCTGAACAGCTGGGGCTGTGGCACCTGGTAACTTAGTTCTGCAGCCTTTTTGCGCGGTGGTGGTGGGGGAGGAGGTCAGGAGACCCAGGTCTGTGCAGCTCTGACTGTGCAGGCAGTGCTCTCTGCCCTGGGACTCCCCGCACCCTCCCCCACTCACACACCGGCCTTTCTGTGTGGTGGGGGACTCAGGAGACTCGAGTCTGTGCAGCTCCCACTGTGCAGGCAGCGCTCTTTGCCCTGGGACACCTCCACTGCCACACAGGACGGCATTGTGGAAGTAAATTGCTGGAGTGCAACAGCCCCTGCTGTTCAGGCAGCGTGCACGCCAGCTGTTTGGGGAGGGGAAGTGCAGTCGCACACTTCCTGGAACCCAGAGGTGCTGCAGGATTGCCAGGTACTGGTCCCAGCTGCTCCTGTCCAGACTCCCCCCAAGTACCCTGTCCCCATCAGCACTGTCCCCAGCACCACCCTGTCTCCGGCCCCAGCAACCTGCCATTCACCCTAGCACCCAGCAGCACCTTGTCCCCAGCCCCAACCATTCACCCTAGCACCCAGCAGCACCCTGTCCCCAGCCTCAACACCCTGCAACCCACCACAGCACCCAGCACCACCCTGTCACTAGCCGCAGCACCCTGCCATCCATCCTAGCACCCAGCAGCACCCTGTTCTTTGTCCCAGCCACACACTCCAGTGCCCAGCAGGACCATGTCCCTGACCGCAGCATCCTGTCCCAGCACCCCACCACCTGTGACAGCATCCTGCCACCCAGCAGCACCCTCTCCCCAGCCCCAGCTCCCACCAGCACCCTGTCCCCTGCCCCCACCAGCACTGTTGGGACCACATTAGTGAGGGTTGGGGGTTTTTGCATCTCACTTGTGTGGTCCCAACTGACTTTTCTGTGTGTCAGTGACCCTTGACTCAAAACAGATTCCCCACCCCTCTCATAAATAAAGACAATGCTAAAACCTTTTGAGTTTGACATAATATGTTATTTAAAAAGGAAGCCTGGCCAACATGCCCCCAATTGGGCCAAATCCCCATCTCACTGCAGCACCATAACACCTCTGCACCACCTGACCCCAAATCTGAGCCTATCATACACTGGAACCCCCTGTCCTGAGCCTCTTACATCCCTCAACTCCTGCATCCCCACATCCTCAGTCTTCTGCCACAACACTCCTCCACCATCCACACATCACAAATCTGTGTCCTGAGCCCATCATACTCACAGCCTCCTTTCCCTGAGTCCCTCACATATCCAAACCAAACTCCTGCACCCTCACATCCACAAGCCTGTGACTTGCTCGGCACCCCAATCTTCCACCTAAGCCCAACACTCCCCAGCCTGGAGCACCCTCCCCAAGCCAGCATCCCCTTCTCCTGCATCCAAATTCCCTCCCAGAGCTTGCACTTCTCACCCCTTCCCACACTCAAATCCTTCATTCCCACCCCAGAGCCTATACCTCCTGTCTCAACACAGTGTATAAGGGCTGGGGACAGCAAGTAATGGAGAGGAGGGGGAACAAAGAGGATGGGGCCTCAAAAGGGTAAGGTCTTGGAGAAGTAATGTGATTTTCATGCACTGGTGGGGTTTTTTTTTTTTTTTGCTTGACAAACCTAGGGGTTCCTTGAAATTCTGAAAAGGGTTCTATGGCCAAATAAAATTGGGAAACACTGTTCTAAACCTACCCCATTTCAACTAGCATTCACTTTCTTGGGGAAAAGGTTGAAACAAAGAAGTCATTACGCTTCTGCCATTTCCAAGTTTCCTGTTATCGTTTCTCCCTCTTCACTGAGCAATGGGCCTACCCTGTTGTTGGTCTTCCTCTTGCTTCTAATATATTTATAGAACGCCTTCCTGTTACCCTTCATCTCTCTAGCTATTCTGAGCTCGATTTGTGCCTTTGCCTTTCTAATCTTGACCCTGAATATGTGTGTTGTTTGCTTATATTCAGCCTTTGCAATTTGACCTAGTTCCTACTTTTTATACAACAACTTTTTTATTTTTAGATAATGCAATCTCCTGGTTAAGCCAAGGCGGTCTTTTGCCAAACTTTCTACCTTTCCTACACAACAGAATAGTTTGCTTTCAGACCCTTAGTAATGTCCCTTTGAAAAACTGACAACTCTCTTAATTTGTTTTACCTTTTAGTCTTGCTTCTCATGGAACCTTACCTACTAGCTTTGAGTTTACTAAAATAGGTCTTCCTGAAATCCATTGTCTCTATTTTGCTCTATTTGTCTCCCTTCTTCCATTTCTTAGTATCATAAACTATATGATTTAATGATTTTTCACCAAAATTGCCGTCCACTTTCAAATTATCTACCAGTTTCTCCCTATTTGTTATAATCAAATCTAGAACAGCTCCCCCCCCCATAGCTCTCTCAACTGTCTGAAATGAAAAAAAAATGTGTCCAATGCAGTTCAGGAACTTACTGGATAATCTATGCCCTGCTGTTTTATTTTCCCATTAAATGTCTGGATAGTTGAAGTCCTCCATCACCACCAAATCATGCGCTTTGGATGATTTTGTGAGTTGTTTAAAAAAAGCCTGAGCAACCTCTCCTGCCTGGGTAGGTGGTCTGTAGTAGACCCCTAGCATGACTTCATCCTTGTTTTTTACCCCTTTTAACCTAACCTAGAGATTCTCAACAAGTCTGTCCCCCCCCCACGTCCATCTCCACCTCAGTCCGAGTGTATACTTTTTAATATATAAGGCAACACCTCCCCACTTTTTTCCCCGCCTCTCCCGAGAAAGCTGTACCCATCTATACCAATATTCCAATCACATGTATTATCCCACCAAGTGTCTGTGATACCAACTTTGTCATAGTTGCACTCATTTATTAGCACTTCAAGTTCTTCCTGCTTATTACCCATACTTCTTGCATTCGTATATAGGCATCTAAAACGGATTTGATTTTGCTTCCCAGTTCTGCCTTGATCTCTGCTATTATAGCTCCCTCCCATTTCTGACCCATCTCCCAAGTCTCCATGTTTTTCACCTACCTGTGAGCTTTGGTCACCTGCCCCCGTCGAACCTACTTTAAAGCCCTGTTAAGAAGCGGGTAATTGGCTAATACAATTTATATAAACTACACAATTAGTTAATAAGGGGAGGTGTTCTGTCCTGGCAGCTCTGCAGTTTAAATGTAGTAGGAGCTGGGTGTGCAAGTAGCCCAGCTCCTACTACATTTAAACAGCAGAACTGCAGCAGGGGTAGGTCCCAGACCTGGCTTGAGCCAGGACTGAGCAGTTTTGGCTCACGCTGGTTCCCGGACTGCTGCACCTCTGCAATTTAAATGTATTAAGAACCTGGCACCAGTGACCCACTGAAAGCCTCCCCTGTACCACAGAGACGGTGCTGGGGGGAATGAGCTTTTAAGCAGACTCTCCTCACCACTGGTTCCTGCTCCCCCCCCTTCCTGCCTCTGCAATGGGGAGGGATCCCTAGCTTATGAGCTTGTAACTGCAGAAAACTTTATGATCTTGGCTGAGTTTCTTAGCTTTAGTCTTCTTTCAGTAAGATGAGGATTTCCCACCCCCACTATTTTAAGGTGTAATTCATAAAATATGCTTTATGTAGTTCATAAAATGTGCATGGATGTGCTTAAAGGGACCACAAGTTAGTAATTTCTCTTTAAAAAAATCTGAGCTAAACTAAAAGTAAAACAATACAAAATAATTTATTTAACTCAAGGTTCATTAAAAGGCATACCTCCTCAAATAAACACAAAGCTGCCTCATAGAGAGAACAAAGACCATCAGATGTTCTAGTTGGTTCCCTCCATTGAGTTCGATCAGCAGATGATCCCTACAATTTAAAAAAATGTTTGTGATGTTGTCAGAGACGGATAATTATACATAGAAACAGCACATTATAACACATTCTTGATTAATTTATTCTAGTTGTGCAGTGAAATCAAATTTGGGTTTGGGGAATCAGTCTATAACCCTAATTTTGTCTATAGTTCTTAATTTTGAACTGAACAAAAACTTATGAATATATTGTATTTCCTAAGTAGGGATGTAAGCAACTGATCGCCTACTCAATCAGCATTTGCTTATAGGGTAGATGAGTAGTGGCTCGACGAGTTGCTCCCCCCCTTGCTGCCTCTATCAGGGAGGTGAAGAGCAGGAGCTCATCTTAGGGGGAGCCAACTTAAAAGCTGGTTCCCCCAGCCCCATCTTCATCAGGAGAGGCAGAGGCATAATGGGGGGGACCGGGCGGCAGCTTGGTAGCTTTTAGCACATTTCAAAAGCACAGGCACAGCGTCTGGAACTGGGTACAAGTTGGGAATCAGCTGATTCCCAGCTCCTGACTGGTCCCCCGCAGCCTCTCCCACCAACTGTGGCTCTGCAGTTTCTCTCCTTAACTAATCAAGTAGTCGATAGAAGTTCCATCAACTACTCAATTAGCTGATTAAACGCAATTTAACATCCCTATTCATAAAACTTATTTTTTAATTAACCACTCCAAAATTGGCGGTTTAATTTTTAAGTCTGAATTTTAATTTCCTTAATATTGTTTATAAAGCAGGGTTTGGGATGCATTTTTCAAGGAAAATACTTTTTCCTCTGAAACCACAGATCACTAACACCATTATTTTTGTATGATGTAAATACTCTAATGGTTTCAGTGTTGTTTTTATATTTAATCGTAAAAACAAGTTAGACACATCAGATAGAAATCTCTGACTCTATATAAACAGAGGCTATCAAGTTACATATCTGTAGCATATAACTTGCGTCTGAAAGACAAGCACTATTCTTAGCATTTAAAATAATTTTGGTATGATTCACAATCTGATGCAAGTCCTCCTAAATAAAGCATAACCCCCCAATAATCTCTGGGTCAGCTCTCCTCTTTTCAACATAGAGCTGACAAGCTGCAACATAATGACCAACTGTATTACTATGAACAGACAACAGTGATTTTCTGCAGTTGGTTTATTGGTTTTGTGCTGAGTCCTGCCCCATAACAAATTCCTTTCAAAATAGGCTTAATAAATTTAGGTTTCTTGGCTGATGGGAGAGGCACAGGATTTGTTTTTCAGTTAAGGAGAAAAATCCACCACTCTCTTTGTTTTTGTGTATATTAGTCTTAGGCTGGATAGGTTCTTGATTGTACATCCCGCTGTGATTTCAAGACTTCATTCCAGAGTGAGGAAAGAACATCTCTCTGGAAGTACCACCCACACAGTGAGGATTACAAGAATCTTATACAATTTCACCTTATTCACAACAGTGCTTAAATTCCACTTTTCTAAAAGCTAGAAGCAGCAGAGGTGTTGGTTAATTAGGAGGGTGGGGCTATCACAAGTGACAAGTTTGTACAGTAAACCAAGCATACCACACAACTTTGAATGCGAAGCAAGTCAAACAAAAAGCAAACTTTAAAACCTAGTTTTATACTTTTTAATACATTTATGTTGGAATAAAATGTATTTGTGAGCAAACAGTTACAGCACATTCTTGATACTCTGCACTGTCACAAGTCTGTTTAGATTTTTTAAGGGGCTCAGGGTGGCTGACTAATTTAGAATACAAGACATTAAAACTAGGACATTTTACTGGATTTACCCAATTTCTAACCTCTTCAAAGCGATGATTTCTCTTCAGCTCATAAAAGGTGAAAGATTTACTAAAAGTGGACACATTCCTTTCAGTTTTGTGATGATGTGTTCAGATTCAGTTTAACCAATTTAAATAAATTGGTAATTTATTTTAATTTGCTAATTAAAGACAAAAAGATTTAAGCAAAACAAAAATCAAATTCCAAATAGAAGTTTTACATACATACCAAAGATCTCCGCATCTGCGTTAATATATTCATAAAGCAGTCAAAACTGATCATCCCTTCTTGATTTTGCAGGAGTTTGTTTTTCTCCATGGCATTTACTACCGCTGATGCGCCTAGAGCCATCTCTATCCATTCAAGAAGGTACCTGAGAGAACCACGCTGGGCAGCTAAACCAAGAAGCAATTCAGATGCTAGCCTACGACCTAAAGTGTCTGCTCCAGAGTTGGGAATCGTTACTCCTTTAAGAAATGTTGTTACTTGTGATAAACAGTCCAGTCCCATTGGCGGAATCTTACTTTCATTTGCTAGTGATAAAGGTGGCAAAGAGCTGACAACTTCTATTGCAGTATGAATGACATCATTGCAAAGACTGAGGCCAGGTCCTGAAGCAGGCATCATCCAACTTTGTCTTAGTAGTGCAAATAGCAAGCTTAGTCCAGTCCGGACCCCCATTTCTATGAGAGCATCTGTACTTGACCTGGGACGCTCACTGACAGAATGGACATCTGTTGAGCCAGAACTGCTTTCTGGAGAATGTTGTTGCTGTTTCACCTTGCCTTTATCATGATATTTATTAGAAAGTGCATAAAAGACACGCTGCAACACAAGCAGACGTTTTCGAAGCGCTCCAGCAAATGGAGAATCTGAACATACCATCTTAGCCAGTGCCAGCTGGCTACTAAGAAGGGCATCCAAGTAGTGGTCCTGTTCATCACTGGATAAGGATTCACGTTCAAAGTCTGGTAACTGAGGTCCTTTGAGGCACAGAACTTGCTGGGGCAAGGGCACTACTTCCTTATTGCTGACTAATTTAGAATACAAGACAGAAACTCCCTCCCTTGTGGCAATAGATTCACTGTCCTCTGTGATCCAGGAACTGTTCAGATGTTCAAGCCATTTCAGCTTAACTGGTGGCACCATAGCAGCCATGTTTGTTTATTCTTCTGCCATTAGTCCTAGAAATGCAAAAAAGACGCATAAGCATATACACAACCATATTTATTACTTGTTCCTCCAATTAAAAACAAATCCATTTTCTAAGAGGCTAACAATCTCCATTTTTGCTTAAACCAAGTTCAAGTACCTAAACAGCTGTCAGAGTTCCTACCAGATGCAATGCAAAATTCAGAAATTCTGCAGACCAATTCTGATCCTTGTTTAAAGACACAATAACTCACTAAAAAAATGCACCATGGCAGAAATCTGCACAAAAAATTAAATGCCAGAATCACCATTATTATTCACTCTTACAACAAATTTAATCCTAATACTTTAATTCTAAAGTAATTTATCTCCCTCTATGACAAATATGTCCCAATTTTACATAGACAAAAACTGAAGCAAAAAGGTCCTATGAATTGCATAGGATCAGATCCCAAACTCTGTGTTACTATTCACAATATCATTCTGCCTCTGAAAATATACACTGCAAGGATAAAGAATGAAAATGAAAACATTTAGTGCACAAAAAGATTTTATATTATCATAGTCCAGTATAGAATCATAGAACACTAGGACTAGAAGGGACTTCGAGAGGTTAGAGTCCAGTCCCCTGCCCTGACAGCAGGACCCAGTACCGTCTAGACCATCCCTGATGGATGTCTAACCAACCTGCTCTTAAATATCTCCAGATGGCGATTCCACAACTTCTCTAGGCAACTTATTCCAGTGTTCAACTACCCTGACAGTTAGGGTTTTCCCCCTAATGTCCAACCTAAACCTCCCTTGCTGCAGTTTAAGCCCATTGCTTCTTGTCCTATGCTCAGAGGCCAAGTAGAACAATTTGTCTCCCTCCTCCTTTTCTCCCTCTTCCCTTTTAGATAGCAGTTTTCAGGTATTACAGTGTTACCCAAATGCTGTTCCGCAGAACCCCGGGGTTCCGCAAAGTGAAAATAAGAGTTCCGTGACAAAATTCCATTACAATAACATTTTATGATTTTTAAAAAAATATATGTAATTTTTGTTTTAAAATATGTGCAATTAAACTAAATGTTGATCTCATGACCTTGTTTGCATTATTTTATTATCCTTACTTATTTGCAGTCTACTTTTTCAGCTCCATATATTAGACTGTTATTAGGGGTTCCGCAAAAAATTTGAGTTTAAAAGGGTTCCGTGGCCAAATAAAATTGGGAAACACTGTGCTATCATGTCCCCTCTCAGTCTTCTGCTTTCCAAACTAAACAAGACCAACTCTTTCAGTCTTCCTTAATAGGTCATGTTCTCTAGACCTTTAACCATTCTTGTTGCTCTTCTCTTTCACCAATTTCTCCACATCTTTCTTGAAATGTGGTACCCAGAACTAGACACTATAGTCCAACTGAGGCCTATTCAGTGCAGAGTAGAGCAGAAGAATGACTTCTCATGTCTTGCTCACAACACTCCTGTTAATGCATCCCAGAATCATGTTTGCTTTTTTTGCAACAGCGTCACACTGTTGGTTCATATTTAGCTTGTGGTCCACTATGACCCCTAGATTCCTTTCTGCAGTACTTGGAATCATAGGGCTGAAAGAGGACAGGAGGTCGAGTCTAGCCCCATGCCCAAAGCAGGACCAATCCCAACTAAATCAACCCAGCCAGGGGTTTGTCAAGCTGCGACTTAAAAATCTTTAGGGATGGAGATTATACCACCTCCATAGGAAACCCATTCCAGTACTTCGCCACCCTGCTAGTGAAATAGTTTTTCCTTCCTGGACAGTCATCTCCCATTCTGTACGTGTGAAACTGATTGTTGCTTCCTAAGTAGAGTCCTTTGCATTTGTCCTTATTAAACTTCATCCTGTTTACCTCAGATCATTTCTCCAGTTTGCCCAGATAATTTTGAATTGACCTTATCCTCCACAGCAGTTGCAACCCCTCCCAGCTTCATATCATCTGCAGAGTTAACTGTACTCTATGCCATCATCTAAACCCATTGATGAAGATATTAAACAGAACCAGTCTTAAATCAGATACCTGTGAAACCCACTTGTTATGCCCTTCCAGCATGACTGTGAATTGTTAATAACTACTCTCTGACAACGGTTATCAAGCCAATTATGCACCCACCTTATAGTAGCCCCATCTAAGTTGTACTTGCCTAGTTTATTGATAACATCATGCGACACCATATCAAATTCCTTACTAAAGTCTAGGTATACCACGTCCACCACTTCTCCCTTATCCATGAGACTTGTTATCATATGTACGAGGACATACCTGTATTAATTTCCCCAAAAGACAGATTACCTGATTCTTTAAACCACTGACATTCTTGAAATCCCATAGTATCAACAAACATGGTAGCAGTGGCAATATCCATTATTACAACTACTACACAGACTTGAGGACATCCCTAATAGTCTATGCCACAACTAAGGTTCCGATCCTCCAAACATACACATGCTTAAACTTTACTAATTCGAGTAGTTCCAATAGAAATAACATTCCACTTTCTGAGTGGGAATCTAGAGAACATTGCAAAAATGATGTGACTGCTTTAATTAAGGACAGAAAAGAGCAGATAGACTATGGCAACAATGCAGAGATTACAGCTCTAATAGCTGTGTCACTGTACCAATGCTAGCGCAGATGCTGTAACCCAGGGATTGGCAACCTACAGCATATATGCCATAAGTGACATGCAAGCCAATTTTCACTGGCACACAAGCTTCCCTGCCAGATCTGTACGCCAAACATACGGGATTGTCTTGATTTTAAATAATCTGTTCCGGTGTCCCCATCAAGGAGTGAAATGTCTCAGAAAGCCCCACTTGTGGAGAAGTGACTGAGAAATGACTCTGTGCAGCAGGCTCTCCTCCACCCCTCCAGCACAGATGGCTCCATTGGAGCCTTGCTGGCAAGCAGCCAGGCCAGCTTCCAGTGGTGCACATTTTCTGGCCACCGTCACCCACTGCCCCACCACCACATGCTGCGCGGCTCCCTCCCACCACGGGATTGCCTCTGGTGTATGGGGCTCCCAGTCCAGCTGCAGCGCCACCTCCTCCTCCAGGCAACTTGTTGGTACAGCAGCCGCCACTGTGAGGAGGGAAGGGGGAACCGAACAGGTCCAAGACAGAACCCAGAGGAGCTGCTCCCAGACGTCCGTGCCTTGAAGCTGCCACTTCAGCCTCAGCAGGGGACACATGGAGACCAGCTGGAATGCTGCAAGGCAGGGTTCACTCGGGCTCACTAGATGTACTCCATTCACTACTGCTCTCTCTCCCCATCTCTCCGGGGGAGTGGTAGCAAGCCAGCTCTGATGGGGAAGCTCAGGGTTTCTTTTCTCCCTGCACCGCACTGAGCTCCCCACTGCATGGAGAGATGGGGCTGAGCTCCTTCCCCCTTCCCACCCCGCTGGAGGAATGCCAGCGCAGTGTCCAGAGGCTTTCTCTGCTGAAGCCAGGTAAGTGTTCCTCTAGTGCCCAGACCCCCACATCCCAATCCTCCTCACTCACTCTCCCCCCATCCTGCTCCCTCCCTCTAGACAGACACCCTACTCCCCAGTCTGCTTCTGCACCCTACCTTCCACCTAGACCTCACAACCTCTCCCCCTTCTGCACCCCACCTCCCACTCAGATCCTGCATCCCATCTCTATCCCACACACTGAAAGCCCTGTCCCACACTGTACCCCTCATTTTTGTCCCCACTCCAGAGACTAAGAAGGGTCCATAAAATCCACAAACACTAGAAAAGTAAATCTGGCCTATGGGAAGCCCTGAACCTCAGACCTCCCGGTCCCTTCCCCTCACCCTCTGGGGCTGGAGTGCTATGTGGACAGTTCTGGCTAGAAGTGCAGTCAGGATAATTGAGTTCTGGAAAAAAGATGCACAGAGCACCTGCATTTAAAGTTTTGGGGTTTTTTTTAAATCCCTATATACCAGTGACTTCCTGAGGAAACCACAGAGCATCAGTAATCTTCCTGAAAATGCCATCCTGACCACCATGGATGTAAAAGCTCTTTACACCAACATTCCACACAAGGATGGACGATAAGCTATCAGGAACTATGGTGCACCTGGAGCTATGTGACTGTCCTCACCCACAACTACTTCCAATTTGGGGACAATTTATACCTTAAAGTCAACAGCATTCCTATGGGTACCCCATAACCTCACAATGTCATTTTTATGGGATGACCTAGAATGTTTCCTCAGTTCCTGTCCCTTGGCATTGATCTCATTATATGGACCCAAGGGAAGGACACCCTTGAGGAAGTCCACATTCATTTCAACAACTTCCACTCCACTACCAACCTCAGCCTGGACAGTCCACATAAGAGAACCACTTTCTTTACACTACAATACAGTTGGACGCTCTCTTAACCGGGACTTTCTGGTCCACCAACATCCCAGCCCTGGTGCAGAGCTAGTGGCTGAGAGCTCTGCAACGGGGCTAGAGCCCAGTAGCGGGGCTGCCCCATGGGAGCGAAACTGGGAGCCCAGCAGTAGCGCTGCTGCCTGGTGCTGACATTCTGGGAGTGAGATATGAGAGGCAGCGGGGCTGGAACCAAGCAGCAAAATTACTCCACGAGTCAGGGACGCAGCAGGGCCACTGGGCAGCAAAGCCAGGGGCCCAGCAGCCCTGCTACCGCAGGGCCAATAACGGGGCTGCCCAATGGTGCAGCAAAAAGCCCAGCAGCCCTACTGCCGCCCTGCAGAGTTGCCTGATGAGGCTGGGAGGCAGCAGGCCTGCCCAGCAAGGCTGATGCTCAAGTGGGGCTTGTCGCCCAGCGGCACAACTGGACACTGGCAGAGAGGCTCCCTCACAGGGCTGGAGCCCAACAGTGGAGCCAGGACCTGAGGGGGCCGATAAGGGTGGGCCCAAAAGTGACCTTCTTTGGTCTGGCAAAATCCCTCGTTTGGGACCAGTCAGGTCCCAAGGATGCCAAACCAAGGAGGCCAACCTGTACAAATAAATGTTGGTCACAGACACCACCCTACCCCAGAAACCTACTGACTGCTATTCTTAGCTA